GCCCAGCTCTATCACTGTACGGTCACAGAGTTTCATAATGTCTGTTAGCATCTCACCCTTGCCAAACTCCTTTCTTCCTAACCCAACCCTAATTTGGTTTGGGTTTCCTTCTCCCACTTGTGCTTTGGAGAAAGCTGATCTTATCCCCAGCTCAAGGAGTAGATCCTGATTAGTCTAAGTCAATTCCCATAAAAACTGTTACTGGCTTGGGATGGACATAATACTAAAGTTGGCCCAATCATACCAAAGAAAAGCCTCCTGAATGGCTTTATCTTGCCCTCTGCCTAATTTCCTCTGACAGTCTTTCTTCTCTCTCCTCTGTCCTGTCCTCTCTCTTCTCTCTCTCTCTCTTTTAGAGACTGAGTCTCACTCTGTCACCCAGGCTGGAGTACACTGGTACGATCATGGCTTACTGCGGCCTGCACCTCCTGGGTTCAGGCAGTCCTCTTGCCTCAGCTCCCCAAGTAGCTAGAACCACATGCGGAATGCCATCAAGCCTAATTTTTTTAATTATTTCTAAAGACGGGGTCTCACTATGTTGCCCAGACTGGTCTCAAATTCCTGGGCTCAAGTGATCCTCCTGCCTCAGCCTCCCAAAGTGCTGGGATTACAAGCATGAGCCATTGTGCCCAGCCAGTCTTACCTTTTTTTTTTTTTTTTTTTGAGATGGAGTTTCACTTTTATTGCCCAGGTTAGAGTGCAATGGCACAATCTCAGCTTACTGCAACCTCCGCCTGCTGGGTTCAAGCGATTTTCCTGCCTCAGCCTCCTGAGTAGCTGGGATTACAGGCACGCGCCACCACACCCGGCTAATTTTGTATTTTTAGTAGAGATGAGGTTTCTCCATGTTGGTCAGGCTGGTCTCAAACTCCCGACCTCAGGTGATCCACCCACCTCAGCCTCCCAAAGTGCTAGGATTACAGGCTTGAGCCACCGTGCCCGGCCTCTTACTTTCCAGATGGAAATACTCTTAGGATGAAACAACACTGTGAGTGGAAGAGCTAAGAGACAAAGAATCTGTGTACTTGAAGACTGAATTTTATGACCAGACAGTCTGCCTCATCTCTCCATTTTCTATTATGGGAGATAATCATTTCCTTATTGTTCAAGTGAGTTTGAGTCAAGTTGTTTACAGCCAAAAGCATCCTAAGTTGTAAGTACTGAATTAATAGAAAATTCCCAATACTAAATGAAACACAGAGAATCATTTTTGACAAGGTTATGCTTTGCTGAAATGGTCCCTGAAAGACAGAAAAAGTTCAGATACGGAGAAAAGAGATTCTTAATTAGAGAAAGGCAGAAACGTACATGATGTTTTCAGAGGCCAGTGAATGGTGGAGTCTGGCTGAAGTAGATGATTTATAAAGAAAAAGGAAACTAGAAAGGAAGGTAAATTCACAATAAAGAAAACCTTCAATAATTTTTCTCCAGTTGTTTTACAAGGGTGCATAATTTGGTTTCAACTTTATCTATGGTGTTTTACTTTCTTAATTACCCATGGATACATTGGTAATTTTTTACTTTTTTTATGTCTCTTAAATATTTCATTTTTAAAAGAGGTATATAATTCCAATAAAAGGCAGTATTTTGGCCAACAAAGTTCATTATTATTTCCATTTATAATTGTCCAAGAATATCTTAATTAAAATTAACTGTCTAGGCCAGGCGTGATGGCTTATGTCTGTAATCCCAGCACTCTGGGAAGCCAAGGCTGGTGGATCACCTGAGGTCAGGAGCTCGAGACCAGGCTGGCCATGATAGTGAAACCCTGTCTCTAATAAAAATACAAAAATTAGCCGGGCATGGTGGCTTGTAATCTCAGCTACTCGGGAAGCTGAAGCACGAGAATCGATTGAATCTGGGAGGTGCAGGTTGCAATGAGTTGAGATCCGGTCACCGCACTCTAGCCTGGGTGACACAGTGAGACTCCGTCTCAAAATAAATAGTTAATTAATTAAATAAAACAAAAATAACATCTAAAATGCAATCATTTTACTAGTTAAAAAAATAACTTGCCATTCAAAATAACATATAAACTCTGTGAAATTCTAATACCTCAGAAATGTACAGATCAGCTTGTTTTAATAACTCTCCAATAATTAGAACATTTGAAGTAGTACCATCTCCTGTGACGTCATCCTGAGCTGTTGCTACTTTTGCTATCAAGGAAGCTGTTGGATGTTGAATTTGCTGCAAAAAGCAAGCAACAGATTTAAAAAGAGGGGATGAGATAAGAAAGTAGGTCACCAAAAACAAGATAACCTAGGGGTCAGCAGTAAAATTAAAAAATGAAATAAGCTTCATTCTACAAGTTTACAAGTTTTGTAATATCAATACCTAAATGTCAAGTCCAAAATTTTAAAAGTGACAGGTAATGAGGTCTGAAGATTTCATAAGTCTTTGCTTCAGAATGCAATGACATTTCTAAAATAAGATTAAATCCTTCAATCTCAAAATGAATACATTTATTAAACTTGCAAAGGATATTTTTATTTTTCCATAATTACAAAGAACATAAGGCAGTACCCTAAAAGATATTATTAATTTATAAGTATGCCTAAGTATACAACGTATGTATAAGTATACAAAGACTTGGAAAGAGCCAGAAAAAAAAACTCTTTTTTTTTTTTTTTTGAGACAGTGTTTCACTCTGTCACCCAGGCTGGAGTGCAGTGGCACGATCTCAAGTTCACTGCAGCCTTGGCCTCCTGGGCTCAAGTGATCCTCTTACCTCAGCCTCCTGAGTAGCTGGGACTACAGGCACATGCTACTACACTGAGCAAACTTCTTTTTTTTTTTTTTTTTTTTTTGGAGACGGGTTTCACCAAGCCTGGTCTTGAACTCCTGGGCTCAAGCAATTTGGCCACCTCAGCCTCCCAAAGTGTTGGGATTACAGGAGTGAGTTACCACACCCGGCCAAAAAAAATTTTTTTATTGAAGTCTAATTCAACAAGCATATCTCAAGACTGCAGTATTTAGCTGACAGCCTTGGCTTACAGATACACAAGTTCTACTATGCTCCTAATTAAGGCTTATTAAGGTTTATTAAAGTCAGCAGTATCAGCTCACCATCTCCTGGAGCAGCACATTGCCATCTTTGGTGAGTTTGATGTCACCTGCACCAGAAACAAGCCTGTTCAGAGAACAACGATATTAAATTCATGTGGTAGGAAGACACTCCCAGTGCTTGCCATCCCATTATCCTCAACAGAGGGAACTGGGCTTGGAAAACTACTGTACCATGGGAATATGCCATGGTAATTACCACCATTTGCAGCTCACAGAATCATTTCTCCCCAGATGGACAGCTTATGGCGATTTCATTCCAAATGGACCATTTACAGATTTAAAGATAAAAGCAGTTGATGAGTTATGAAAAGTGGTTTGGTCAAAGAATACTTGAAAGTCTACAAAGCACAAATTTGCAAATTTCCTGCAGGTTTTTATTTTGGTGAACGTTTTCATTCATTCAGTCACTCTAGTTTCCCTCATCCCTGCATTTATTAGATCACCAAGTTCTATCAATTCTACTACCTAAATATCTCTTGAATCTGCCCCCTTCTCTCCATCTCCACTGTTATCATCTCTACCTTGGATAGCATCCAGTTATCTCCAAACTAAAATATACCCTCCACACATTTTTCTTTCTAAAAGGCAACGTGATTCAGTCAGTTCCCTGATCAAAAGTCCTCCAATGATTTTTATGTTTTTCATCATTTTCAAGTTAAAATCCAAACAGCAGACACTTGACCTTTCTCAATCTGGTTTATGTCTCTCTTCCCTGACTCATCTACTTTCCCACAAGCAAATCTTCTGGTTCCCTTAATACACCATGTTTGGTTTTTTCTATTGGATTTGCACCATTGGTCTTTCTTATTCCTGAAATTACTCTGCCCAGAAGGCCTTTACTCCCTCTTCCAACCCAAGACTCTGATCAAACATCATTTAAGATGCTTGTCCTTCTGCCATCAGTAATTATTCCCTTTCCTCAGCATAATCATATGCATCTATATATAATTAGCACATCCTACTCTACCACATCTCCTTAAGAACAGAAACTGTATCTTGATCATTTCTGTGTCCCAGCAACTAGTACCTAAGTGACTTATTTTACCATTAATATTAATTTATTTTGTTCATTACTATGAGGATGTGTCTCTCCTCTTATACCCTTTTTTCCTCACTGGTCTCTTTTCCTCACTCTTGTCTAGAGAAAATGGTGCTTAATATATACTGAAAAGATGAATAGATATGAAGAACCACAGACACAGGGTATTCAAGTAGAAATTGGATTTGACCTCATGCCCTCCTGGCTCCAAAGCCTGTGCCCTCTCCACTACAATACATTGCCACACAAAATACAAAAATAACTACTTGTTGAATTTATGGACTAAAGGTATACAGTCTTAAAGGGCAGAGAAGTTAAATGCTTTATGTTTCCAATAAGACACTAAATTAACTGACTTTCTAACTGCATATGAACCTTGACGAAAAGTAGGGTGTCGGGGGAGCGTCACAATTTCACTCCTGGGGCCTTCTAGGGGAGGCTTTTCTCCTCCACCTGCACCAGGCGAGAAATACCCTCAGGACAGGGATGAGAATGAGGGAAATCAAGCTCGCAAGAACATCCACAGCGCTCCACGGACGCCTGCCTCAGAGGGCTCCAGGACACCCAACAAGCCCCCGGCCGCCTAACGGCCGCTCCAACCGCCGTCTCACATTTTCATGGTGCCTTTAGGACCCAAGTTGGTCCGCAGCACATCCTGCAACCCTCGGGCGGCGCATATATTGACAGACAAAGCTGCCTGGGCCCGCGCCACCTCAGCCTTGGAGTTTACGGCCTTTATCGCAGCCATAGCCTAATCGTTCACAGGAAAAAAAAAAAAAAAAAAAAGCCTTAGTCGCGATTCTGAGCCAAAACGCCAACGCTACGCCACGCTCTCTTGAACCTCGGCCAATCATCGCCCTTACAGGAAGTGACATTATCATGCCTCGCCGAACGGAAACCAGAATCGCTTTGGGTCTGGTCGCCAAGATGGCGTCCTCCGCCTCCGCTAGGACTCCGGCCGGGAAGCGAGTGGTAAATCAGGAAGAATTGCGGCGGTTAATGAAGGAGAAGCAGCGTCTGAGCACCAATCGGAAACGGATAGAATCTCCATTCGCGAAGTACAACCGTTTGGGGCAGCTGAGTTGTGCCCTGTGTAACACCCCGGTTAAGAGCGAGCTCCTGTGGCAGACTCACGTCCTGGGAAAGCAGCACCGAGAGAAAGTGGCCGAGCTGAAAGGCGCGAAGGAAGCCAGCCAGGGTTCGTCCGCCAGCTCAGCGCCTCAGACCGTCAAGAGGAAAGCGCCGGACGCAGACGGCCAAGACGCCAAGAGAGCGAAGGCCACCTTGGTGCCTCAGGTACAGCCCTCCACATCTGCGTTGCCTACCAACTTTGACAAAATAGGAAAGGAGTTCATTAGAACGACTTCCAGTAAGCCTTCAGGACTCAGTTTACTCCCCGAGTATGAAGATGAGGAGGAGGAGGAAGAGGAGGAGGAAGGAGATGGAGAAAGAAAAAGGGGGGACGCCAGCAAGCCGCTGTCCGACGCACAGGGCAAGGAACACGCAGTTTCTTCTTCGCGGGAGGTAACAAGTAGTGTGCTGCCAGACGATTTCTTTAGTACTAATCCTCCCAAGGCCCCCATAATTCCTCATTCAGGGTCAATTGAGAAAGCAGAAATACATGAAAAAGTGGTGGAAAGGAGAGAAAACACCGCGGAAGCGTTACCGGAAGGTTTTTTTGACGACCCTGAGGTAGATGCAAGGGTGCGAAAGGTTGATGCCCCAAAAGATCAGATGGACAAAGAGTGGGACGAATTCCAAAAAGCCATGAGGCAGGTCAACACTATTTCCGAAGCCATAGTTGCCGAAGAGGATGAGGAGGGACGGTTGGACCGCCAGATTGGGGAGATCGATGAGCAGATAGAGTGTTATCGACGGGTGGAAAAGCTACGGAATCGCCAGGATGAAATAAAAAATAAACTTAAAGAAATCCTGACCATAAAAGAACTGCAGAAAAAGGAAGAAGAGAATGCTGACAGCGATGATGAGGGGGAACTACAGGATTTGTTGTCTCAGGATTGGAGAGTGAAAGGGGCATTGTTATAAGGTTTTAAAGACCCAAGGTTTCTAACAGCCTCTGCTATTGTATAAAAGTGCTGTCTCTCAGTAGTATATCGGTTACTTCATGCCTAGAGATTTGGGTACCTGGATTGCTAAACTGGATTGTTAAGATAAAATGAGCCAGTGAGCTACAGCACTTTGGAAAATTTGTGTAAAATGTTTTTGAGGTAAAGTTGTTTTTGAAATTTCTGAAGTGTTATATACCAAAATGCCAACTGTTCCACAACAGACTTAACTGTATACTTTCGTTGTAAATATTGTACATAGTTAAATCTATATTAAGTAATTCTGTTTTGAATTTTTTTAATTAATAGAAAGACCAACCGGCAAACTTTTAGATGAATGCTCACTGTAGTATTTGTAATGTATTTATCTTCTGAACCCTACATCAAGTTGAAAAGGTTTGTTTTCTTGTTTCTTTGGTTTTTTTAGAACACTTCATGAACACATAAGTCATTATAGGTTAATCAGTTCTCTTAGTATGCTTCATTTTAAAAACAGAAAAATATATGCTAAACACGATCAGCCTCCGTAAACCAGTTTCCCTGGACTAGACCAATGCTGCTCAGATGTGGTTGCACGTGAGAATCACCTATGAAGTATTAAAATAAATTCAAGTGTCTGAGGCCTTCCCCTTCAATAAATCTGGGATGAGGTCCAGGCAACTGTGTTTTTTAAAGCTCCCAGGTTATTCCGATATATGCCAGGATTTAAAGAGTAACTGCCCTAAATCCAGAACCCATTTATGTTTTTCTTTAAATAACATTCCATAAATTTGCTGTTTCTTGAATGAAGGAAATATTATCTTTTATTTATTTCATCCAGCCTTAAATTTTGTTATTTGGTGGTAAATTAGAGTTCCTTGTTTGCAGGTCCTATCTATTGTAGAAAGAATATTTAAGTTGTCTTTCCAGCAGTAACAGTTGGCTCTTGCTGGTCATTGATAGTTTAAATCACTCCTTCCTTTAGAGATTGAGGTACTCAAATAGGAAAAGGGACTTAGCAGTGTTCTGGAGTAGAAATGCATACAGCATATTCAAATAAAAGTGAGCAATAATAATAATAGCTAAGACCTATATAGTTCTTAGTATGGGCCAGGTATGGTTGTAAGTGCTTTACATATATTAACTCAATCTAGTTTCCCTAAATTCCTTTTTTATGGAGAGGAGTACCAAGAGATAAAGTTTGAAAAGCTTTGAATGCTAAGTGAAAACTTTTTATGAAGTTCATATGAAAATGGAGGTTTTGAGCGAAGAATGACATCTGCAAAGAAATATCATGGAACATTAACAGTATATAGAATGGAATGAACACAGGGAGGGTAGAAGGAAACTAGGAGCTATTTGAAAACTATATTTTCAAAAGCGAGGTGACAAGACTGATTAGCTGTGGATCGGGAGAAAAGGAATAGAAGTGAAAGATTTTCAAAGGAATAGCTAAATTTTAGTGACTAGAAGTGGAAGAAGAAAAACAGGAGGGATAAGTACGGAATTCAAGATTTTGTTTGTATTTAGTGTCACTGCCTAAAAGGAGTTACACTTATTGAACAGTTGCTGTGTACCACAAATTATTATTAATAATTGTCCTGCTGCCTTTGGCAGTCTTCTTCCTTGAGCTGCTAGCTGATCAGTGATAGCAGCTTCCATTTGATGAGACATGGCTTGCTTGCCTCAAATGTGTGAACCCACTGTTACTCAGAATTTTCCCTTCATTCATCACTATTACGCCAGTAAGAAAGTACAAATACAGGTTTGAATGGTGGGCCCAGTACTGCCTTGGCTAACAATCTAGTGGAGTACTGTCCACTAAAGATATAATGCCGCTGGGTGTGGTGGCTCATGCCTATAATCCTAGCACTTTGGGAATCCGAGGCGGGTGGATCACTTGACCTCAGAAGTTCAAGACCAGCCTGGGCAACATGGCAAAACCCCATCTCTACAAAAAATACAAAAAAAAAAATTATCTGGGTGTAGTGGCATGCACCTGTAGTCCCAGCTACTTGGGATGCTGAGGTGGGAGGATCACCTGTGCCAGGGGAGGTGGAGGCTGCAGTGAACTGTGATTGTGCCACTGCACTCCCGCATGGGTAACAGTATGACCCTGTCTCAGAAAGTCAAAAAATATAATGTAAGCCATAAATTTTACATTTTCTAGTAGCCAAAGTAAAAAGAAGTAAAAGTAGTTTTAATGTGTTTTATGCCCAGAATATTAATGTTCCAATATGTAGTTAATATTTAAAATCAATTATTTTTACTACATTTTTGAAATCTAGGTGTATCTAACAGCACATCTCAGTTTAGACTGGCCACACTTCAAGTACTGAATAGCCATATGTGACTAGTGACTACTATAAAAAACAGCATAGATCTAAAGAGTAAGGTATCCAGGTGAAAAGATAAACATGCTCAGGAGGTAGCCAGCATCCAATTTAACTAGAGCAGAGGGTTCACTCCTGGCAACAGTGGGAATTATGATTGAAAATATAGATTAGGAACATGTGGAGGACCTTAAATACCAAGCTCTAAGGAATGTGAACTTTCTAAGTTAACAATTTACCCTTGTAGATTGAGTCCTTAATTGTAACACTGCTTAATAAGTGCCAGGTGTGTGTTACTAATGTGAACCCCCCCATTGGGCTTTTAGGAAGCCCTCAAAATCTGATTCTCAAAGCTCCATTCCAGAGCAGTAGAAACGGGGCCCTGACCATAATCAGTGCCCAATGAGTCCTTGTTGAATTTGAGGTCAGTGTAAACAGCTACAGGAGCTAGTGCATCTTTCCTGATCCACTTATACATTGGAAAGCTCCATTATTATACCTTCTCTGAGCTAAGTCAAACAGGTTTTGGCATTTGACTGAATACCATCATTGTTCCTAAATTGTAAGAATTGTTCCCAAGGACTCCTTCCAGTCACTTCTCATTTTAGAAAGCCCCCTAATTCAGTCATCATCACAATATAGAAGTGTAAATGCTATAAAGGTATCCTCTCTCCCAGCTTCACTTACCAATTTAAATCAATACACCTAACTTGGAAGAAGGAAAAAATGCTGATCCAACTAGCCTTCAAATGTATATGTGTCCAGTGCCTTAAAATTTGCTATTTAATGATGGAAGTAATTACTGCTTTTTACACACCAGGGGACAAAATAGGCTATGGAATTAAAATTGCAGGAGAAAATGTAATTTAGGCCTAAAATCTTTAATAGTAACAATCACTAGATTAGTGTGTAGTAATGGAAAGAACCATGGAATTGGAACAGAAGACCTGCATTCAAGTTTCCACTCTACTTTTTAATGGTTAATGAGCTTGGCCAAGTCACGTCTCTGAGCCTTAATTTGCTCCACTATAACATGAAGATATGTAATTCCTCACAGGGGTATGGTGAGAGTCCAGCAAGACATGGACTCATTCTGATGAACACAGAATGGAAGATCTTAATGGAAATAGTGTGTTTCCTGTCAAGTACCAATTGGCTAGCTGTTTGGCTAGATGTTGTGCCGGGGGTTTGAGTAAATATTCACAGGAATGATGACTAGATAGATAACCTTAGATTGCTTTTTCAAACTAATAGTCTTAGCCTATATAATACCAGGAGTATAGAAGATTTAAATTTGAACAAGGGCCGGGCTGTGTGGCTCACACCTATAATCCCAGCACTTTGGGAGACCGAGGCAGGCAGATCACCTGAGGTCAGGAGTTTGAGACCAGCCTGGCCAACATATAGTGAAACCCCATCTCTACTAAAAAATAAATAAATAAACACAAAAATTAGCTGGGCCTGGCAGTGCATGCCTGTAATCCCAGCTACTTGGGAAGCCAAGGTGGGAGAATCACTTGAACCCGGGAGGCAGAGGTTGCAGTGAGCTGAGATCGCACCAGTGCACCCCAGCCTGGGTGACAAAGCAAGACTCCATCTCTCAAAAAAAAAAAAAAAAGTTTGAACAGGGGGAAAAAAAAATGCCAAAACTCCCCACATTCAGTTTTATATCTACATTTCCTCCCTCAGTGATCTCATCCATTCCTATGGGTTTAAATATCACCTATGTACTGAAGATTCCCAATTTATATCTCCAACCTTGTCCTTCCTCCTAAGCTTCTGGCTTGGCTAAGTACCTACCTAACATTCCACTTCGAGGTTTAATAGGTGTCCAAAATAGAATAACTCTCAAACAGAGCTTTGATTTTCTTCTCAAACCTGTTCTCAGGTTTACTGAGAACTTGTCTCAATAAATTTTACTGAGTAAATTTTACTGAGACTTGTCTCAGTAAATGGCACCACTACCCACCCAGATGCTCAAGGCAAACCCTGGGGGCCATCATTCACTGTCATTCCTTTCCCTCAAATCTAATGCACTAGTTAAGTCCTGTCCATTCTACCTCTAAAATATGCCTAAAATCTGTCCACTTCTTTCTCACTGGCCCTAGCCACCAACATCTCATTCATTGTTGCCTATCCCCTCACCCTCATCACAATCTATTCTCACAGAGTAGTCAGAATGATCTTAAAACTTTAGATTAAGTCACTCCATCATTTAAAACCATTATATGCTTCCATCACACTGGGGGGTGGTGGGGGTAAGAAATCCAAGCCCTTATTAAGTCCACATGGTATTCAGGGGTTGCTAATTCAAATGTCTACTACTTACAAACTGATGACACTAAGCCCCATTAAAGTGGTGTGGAAGGGGACAGGAGAGCCTAACTGTTCTACGTTGAATGCAACTGTTATTCAGGAATAACGGCCTGGCATAGTGGCATGGACAATTTGTTTTTTGGTTTTGGTTTTTTTTTTTTTTTTTTGGTTTTTGGTTTTTGTTTTTGTTTTTGAGACGGAGTGTCGCTCTGTCCTGCAGAGGCGCGATCTCGGCTCACTGCAACCTCTGCCTCCCAGGTTCACGCCATTCTGCCTCAGCCTTCTGAGTAGCTGGGACTACAGGTGCCCGCCACCATGCCTGGCTAATTTTTTTGTATTTTTAGTAGAGACGGAGTTTCACCATGTTAACCGGGATGGTCTCGATCTCCTGACCTTGTGATCCGCTTGCCTTGGCCTCCCAAAGTGCTGGGATTACAGGCATGAGCCACCACACCCGGCCCCAATTTTTTTTTTTTTTTGACTTAAGATAAATTGCAAGTCAGGATTGTTTTTCAGTGAAATATCAAAAACACTGTGGGCTGAGTGTGATCTGTGGACCCGCACCTTGTGACATACCTCTCTGACTTCATCTGCTACACATTTCCCCTTAATTCTCTATTTCCCAGTTCACTGGCTAGCTTTCTAGCCCTCGGATGTGACATCTTAGGGCTCACACCCTTGTGGTTTTCTCTGCTTGAAATGTAACTTCAGATAGCATGGCAGTCTTCTCAATCATTCAGTTCTCAGCTCTAAAGTCCCTTTCTCAGAAGGCATAAACAGCCACCTGTCACTCAAAACACTTTATGAATTCACTAAACGTATCACTATCTTAAG